GAGTAAGGAATATCTTCAATGGCTATTTTGGTATTCATGTTGCAGACTCTTAAATCTTTTTTTTTCCCCTTATATCTATATTGTTTGTTTAAGTATGGTCTGACTAAAAACAGCATTCTTTGGATAAGCTAAAAGGCAGTCTGGGAAGAAAAAGTTCAGTTTTGAAGTTGGACACCATGTATCCAAGAGCAGGAAGAAAGTCTGGACACTTGCCTTCCTATAGAGATTTCTTTGTGTACCAAATCTCCTGCCTGTCTAGCAGTTTCTTAGCTCTGGCCCAGACCTCTAGCCCAGTACTATGGATATAAATTTTGGAATAATGAATATGTATCCAGACTGAGAGTTTCTCATTTTTGCATCTCCAGCACTTTCCACAGCTCCTTGCACAGAGTAAATTCATAAATGTTTCTGGAAGGAATGGATGAGCTCCTAAAGATCAAAGGCCAGGTCTCACTTGCTTCGTAAGCTCTTAGCAAAGATAATGGAGTTACTAAGACAAGGAAAAGGCTAGGAGACTTGGATATGTAAGTAAAGTTCCCTGTGGGATGGCATAGCAAAAAGAGTTCTAGGAGCTTGAAAATCAAACAAATTCCAAATCTTTTCAACTCCCTTTCCAGACAGGATGGTTATCTCAACAGGGTCAACAGAACCTTTTCTACTTCCCAACAAACACTGGAGAGGGAAATCCACACTGATATGAAGGCTCTGCCTGCTTTGCAAATGGTTTGCAGACATTTAGATCTCCCAAGTATTTCCCAAGTTGAGGTGTTTCTTTTGATATTTGGTTCCTTGTCATTAAAATATTTGAGCTGGGCCTGGTGGTTCATGCCTGTAATTCCAGCACTTGGGAGGCTGAGGCAGGAGTATCTCTTAAGACCAGGAATTAGAGATCAGCCTCAGCAACATAGCAAGATCCCATCTCTTATTTTTTTTTAAAGGTGGGGGAAATGAAACATTTGATAAATTTAGCCCTAAAATTACCTAACACCACTACCTCCCTTGTGCTTAATGATCCATGCTTTTGGGGACTCCAGATAGCAAGTAGAGGGCCAGAATGAAAATGACCTAAGTCAGGAGTGGTGGCTCACACCTGTAATCCCAGCACTTTGAGAGGCCAAGGTGGGTGGATCACCTGAGGTCAGGAGTTCAAGACCAGCCTGGCCAACATGGTGAAATCCTATCTCTGCTAAAAATACAAAAAAAATTAGTGGTAAGTGGTGGCAGGTGCCTATACTCTGTTACTTGGGAGGCTGAGGCAGGAGAATCGCATGAACCTGGGAGGTGGAGGTTACAGTGAGGGCGAGATCATGCCACCATACTCCAGCCTGGGCAACAGAGTGAGACTGCCTCAAAAAAAAAAAAAAGAAAAAAGAAAATGACCTTGCCTCATCCCAGAATCCTAGCACTGTGTGAAGGGTAGCTTCTCTGAAGGTACCCTTATCCACCTTGGAGATGTGGACCAAACTCAGAATTGAGCCACAGGAAGTGCTTAGGACAATGAGAGTGGAGAAAAATTGTTATTTAAAGAATAATTCTTTGGAACCTTCATAAGCCCGGTTTATTATATAATGTCTGTTATCCTAGTTGTGGGGCAGGGGTATTCACAATAGGTTTAGGCTGAGACTTACCATCCTGAAATGCTTGCTCAGCTGTCCTCTGGAAGCTCAGGCAGTGCAGAATATGACAACAGAGCACCTTCTAACCCACTAGTCCACAAAGGAATCCCAGCTGCCACTCAGTATCAGAACCTGGAGTGAATGAATGCCTGCAGCAGTACTCTACTAACATCTCTTTTTCTGGTTTTCCTGAGAACTTGCATTGAGGCAGAAACTGCACACTTATAAGCTGCAGTAGCTTCCCTTGCTGTCAGTCAAGCAATGTTGGGGAAGGGAGCATGGGTAAAGCAGGCCTAGGAGTGTGGACAGGGCCCTGTATTATCTAGAGTGTCTGAAACCCATTCCCCTGCCTCCAGATGGGGCTTAGGCCTATGCCACACTAAACATCCTAGTGCATTCTCTTAAGTCAGAAGCTGTCTCCTTGACAGGGTATCAGATGCCTCCGTATTTCTCCCTGAGAGGCTCTTCCTGAGCTGACTGCACCCCTTCTCCTGTAATGCGAGTCATAGTGGTAATGATAAGCAGCTTGCTTATCACCTCCTTTTGGTGTCCTAACTCCTCAGACGCTGAAAGACACTTTATAGGTCACCATTCTCTCGTTCTTCAGCCTAAGTAATCTGTAAGAAATGTGGGCTGGATGCAGTGGCTCACGTCTGCAATCCCAACACTTTGGGAGGCCGAGGCAGGAGGATCACTTGAGCTCACGAATTTGAGATCAGCCTGGGCAATGTGGTAAGACCCTGTCCCTACAAAAAAATATAAAAATTGGCCGGGTGCAGTAGCTCACGCCTGTAATCCTAGCACTTTGGGAGGCAGAGGAGGGTGGATCATGAGGTCAAGAGATTGAGACCATCCTGGTCAACATGGTGAGACCCCGTCTCTACTAAAAATACAAAAATTAGTCCCAGCTACTCGGGAGGCTGAGGCAGAAGAATTGCTTGAACCCAGGAGGCAGAGGTTGCAGTGAGCCGAGATCGTGCCATTGCACTCCAGCCTGGGTAACTAGAGTGAAACGCCGTCTCAAAAAAATATATATATATAAATTAGCCAGGTATGGTGGTGTGTGTCTGTAGTCTGTATTCCCAGCTACTCAGGAGGCTCAAGTGGGAGAATTGCTTGAGTCTGGGAGGCTTGAGCCTGGAAGGCAGAGGTTGCAGTGAGCCATGATCATACTACTGCACTGCAGCCTGGGCAACAGACCAAGACCCTGTCTCAAAAAAAAAAAGAAATGTGAATGAGGCTGGGCATGGTGGTGTATACCTGTAGTCCCAGCTACTCAGAAGGCTGAGGCAGGAGGATCCTTTCAGCCTAGGAGTTTGAGTCCAGCTTGGGCACCATAAGTGAGACCCCATCTCTTTAAAAAAAAAATCAATTAAAAAAAAAGTGTTCACGCCTGTAATTTCAACACTTTGGAAGGCTGAGACAAGAGGATTGCTTGAAGCCAGGAGTTCAAGACCAGCCTGGGCAACAAAGCAAGACCCCCGTCTCCTAATTGTTAAAATAAAAATTTTTTTTAAAGTGGGTCAAAGGGGAACAGTTATTTCCTAAGGTCATAGCTGGTAAACACGCATTTAGAATAATAAAACCAAGTACAATCACATACAAAAGAATAAAACATCTGTAGAGATGGAAAAATGTGGTACAAAGTCCAGTTTGGAACCTGGGTCCTAAGCCTGGCTCTGCCACTTATCATCTATGACTCTGGGAGGTCACCTGCCTCCTCTTGTCTAGGTTCTTTCATCCTTGTAACATGGCAGGACCAGATGATCTGTAATGCTCCTCTCCAGCCAGGTTATGACACTATCCAATAGGGATGGCCAATGGGATAACATATGCTAACTTCTCTGGACTAGTGTGCCTGCCTTGAGTGCTGCAGTTGGGTCTGTGAGTTTAGTAAGGCTCAGGTGAAAGATGCTGGGAATGACAGGCGATGTCTACCAGGGATGACAGAGTAATGGAGGATAATTTGTCATCTAAGTTTCAGTTACTATTAAAAATTTTTGAACAGCTAGTACATCCATATCATCCAAAATTTTAACCATATAAAAACAGAAAATATTTATTACCAGTATTTTTTTTTTTTTTTTTTTTGAGACAGGGTCTCACGCTGTCAAACAGGCTGGATCAGTGGCATGATCATGGCTCATTGCAGCCTCTGTCTCCCAAGCTCAGCTGATCCTCCCAGTTCAGCCTCTCAGGTAGCTGAAACCACAGGCATGTGCCACCACACACAGCTAATTTTTTTATTTTTTGTAGAGACAGGGTATTTCTATGTTTGCCTAGGCTGGTCTTAAACTCCTGGACTCAAATGATCCCCTTGCCTTGGCCTCCCGAAGTGTTGGGACTACAGGTATGAGCCACTGTACCCAACCTCAGACATATTTCTTTCTTTTTTTGCTCTGTTGTTGCCCAGGCTGGAGTGCAGTAGCGCAATCTTGGCTCACTGCGACCTCTGGCTCCTGGGTTCAAGCAATTCTTCTGCCTCAGCCTCCTGAGTAGCTGGGACAACAGGTGTGCACCACCATGCCTGGCTAATTTTTGTGTTTTTGGTAGAGGTGGGGTTTCACCATGTTGGCAAGGATGGTCTTGAACTCTGGACCTCAGGTGATCCACCCAGCTTGGCCTCGCAAAGTGTTGGGATTACAGGCATAAGCCACCTGCACCTGGCCCTCAGATGTATTTCTAATGATTGTCCTTCTACCCAATTCTTGTTAGGCTGTATTTTTAAAGAAGGTTAATGCCTGATATACATATCCTTTTTCTTTTCCATAGAACTGTTGATTGGTTTCAGAAAAGTCTTGGTCCATGTTTTTAAACCAACCAACAAATAATACTAAACGAAAAACCAAACCAACTTGCTAGAACGATTATTTGAGTTCTGGGTAAGTTCGTTTTTTTCTCTTAGAACAACAGCTCTCTAATAAAAGGGGAGAAATAAAGAGAGAATAAACAAGTTTTTCAAAAAGCATTATAATACATTTTTGGCGGGGTACAGTGGCTCATGCCTGTAATCCCAGCACTTGGGGAGGCCAAGGCGGGAGGATAGCTTGAGTCTAGGAGTTCAAGACCAGCCTAGGCAACATAGTGAGTCCCTGTCTCTTAAAAAAAAAAAAAAAGCATTATCAGACTTTTTGTAGTTGGTAGATCTAGTAGTCCCCTTCCCTTCCACCACTTTTTCCTTTCTGGCATTTGTCTAGCTATTCTTGTACATTTATCTCTCCATATAAGTTTTAGAATCAATTTGTCTGGTTTCAGGAAAAACAATAAGCCTAATGGTTTTTTCAAAAATCACTGCCAGCCATTCACCTTGACTTTCTCCACTCCCTACTTCCTTAGATGCTTATGAAAATAACTCCCCGAATCACCTGTGCTTTCTCATTCCAGATGAAGGGAGAAGCTGGACATATACTACACAATGAAAAGTCAAAGCAGGTAAATGCCAGCACCTCATCCCCAAACTGGTAAGAATGTAGTCAGTGCCTCTTGCCATAGCTGCACTTGCTATGCATCCAACATTTCCCCCAAGGTTTAGGGGTAGCTGACACATGGTAAGGTCTTCATTTCAGTAACTGAACAGACTATACTTGACTCCAAACTGTCTTTTAACCATAACCGCTTTGCCTGAATGCAGAATGTGAATGTGCATCATGGAATTGAAAAGCCTGATAACTGTTCTCCCTTCGCCTCCTGGCTCTCCTGGCTGTAGCCCTTAGCATGCCCTATGCCTCAGGCCTTTGGAAAACCCTTTCTGTAACTTTCCTGGGGACAACAGAGACTTTCTGGGGGTAGCTGAGAACTGGCTGCTGACCCCAGCTAACTCCTGCATTGCGTTTTCCTGCACCCCACAGAGGACCTTTGTCCTGTTTATATTTCCTTCATCTGGGCTGCTAGGGAGATTAAAACAAACAAACAAACAAAAAAAAAAAAAACCAACATCCCCGAAAAAATATCTAATCCAGTATGTGAAACTGAGGTTTTAATTTGGCTTAATTTGGTTTGATCAAACTCAGAAGATTAAAACTTTCAGTGAGTCTAGAAAAGTTCCTGAAAAGAGCCCTCAGAATCCAAACAGAAATAATTGGAAAAGCCCAGTCACCGGCCTAGCAAACACAGGGTGACCTTTGAATGGCCCATGTAAAAAGAACAAGTTCTGGTGGAGTACAGTGGCTCACACCTGTAATCTTAGCATTTTGGGAGGCTGAGGTGGACAGATTGCTTAAGGTTGAGAGTTCAAGGCCAGCCTGGCCAACCCAGAAGTTAACCTGGGCAAAACCCAGCTAACTTCTCTACTAAAAATACAAAACTTAGCCAAGTGTGGCGGCAAATGCCTATAATCCCAGCTACTCAGGAAGCTGAGGTGGGAGAATTATTTGAACCCTGGAGGCAGAGGTTGCAGTGAGCTGAGATGGTACCACTGCACTCCAGCCTGGGTGACAGAGTGAGACTGCCTCAAAAAAAAAGAAGTCAGGAAAGGTATATGATTCACTCTTTTATGCCAAAGCAAGAGGAGGGTAGGGATGGAAAAAATAGGCCTGGCCTATGGTTACAGTGAAGCTCCTATAACTGGAAAAGGATTTTCTTATCATGGTTTTGGCAGATGCTGCTGTGATAACTCTCAATCTTGCCTGCCCATTGGAATTACCTGGGGAGTCAAGGTCCCACCCCCCAGGGACTTTTATGTAATTGGACTGGAGGGGACCCTATTGGGACTTTAAGCTCCCAGATGATTTCAATGTGCAGATCATGGGTATCTCCATTTGCCAAGAAGACTGGCAATGAAATCCTATGATTAATAGAGGCTTGCCCAACCTCTGACTCAGAATTGCCTGATAGTTTCTCTGGAGTCAGGCTAATTCCCTTCCCTCCCCCAGCGTGGGCTCTAATTTTCATAAACACACCCATGTACAGCCTGAGAGCTCCTGATAAGGAAGAGGCTCCCACAGAAACTGGGAAGAGGTCAAAAGACGAGCCTTCCTGGCTGGTTGAGACCTTGATCCTACAGCACTCCTGCTGTGCCTTAGCAGTGAGCTGCGTGTAAACACAGGGGGCTTGTTAGGGTCTGACACTTCCTTGACCACCTCCAGGAGGGACACATCTGGGGCTCTATGAGGAGGACAGCTTTCATCCTGGGCTCTGGACTTCTCTTGTTTGTGGCCTTCTGGAACTCAATGACATGGTAAGTCACTCCACCCAGCTGTAATCCAGGAGCTAGAGGCAGTGTGGTGGTGGTGGTCAGTGGCAGAACATAGAGGAAGGAGGGGTCCACCCACTAGTGTTCACCCAAAAAGCTGAATGGTTTTTCTTCCAAGGCATCTTCAGAGATTTTGGGGTGCTTCTGGCTACTTTTGGCAAGCCCAGTGGGAGAGGCTGCTGACTACATTTGAAGGGAAGGAGTGGATCCTCTTCTTTATAGGTGAGGTTCCCAGACCACCAGCACCTAGCATGTGTGTGCATGATTATAACTTAGTTCTTTTTCTATTATTTTGTTCTCTACTTTGACACTTTCAGTTTATTATTCCAAGGGATGAGGACTTGAAGTTCAAAAGAGTGGTAGTCCCAGCCGGGCACGGTGGATCAAGCCTGTAATCCCAGCAGTTTGGGAGGCCGAGGAGGGTGGATCACAAGGTCAAGAGATCGAGACCATCCTGGTCAATATGGTGAAACCCCGTCTCTACTAAAAATACAAAAAATTAGCTGGGCATGGTGGCGCGTGCCTGTAATCCCAGCTACTCAGGAGGCTGAGGCAGGAGAATTGCCTGAACCCAGGAGGTGGAGGTTGCAGTGAGCCAAGATCGCGCCATTGCACTCCAGCCTGGGTAACGAGCGAAACTCTGTCTCAAAAAAAAAAAATGTGGTAGTCCCAAAGAATACTAAACTTGTGGGCAGTCTGGAAACAGGATGCCTAAAAAAAGAAGCTGAGAAATTGAGACTCCTTCCAACATATAGAAGAGTAAGAAATGTTTTATGTAAAAATGAATGCATATTTGGAGCAATAACCCTGTTTCTAAATGTAATTTCACAAGCACAGACAGCTGCCCTGTCTTGTCAGAGACTATGTACCCTGTACCTGGTACAGTCAGTGCTTGACAGCAAGTGGCCAGTCAATAAATATTTACTGACAGCTTCAATGGCTCCAAACAAACCTGAGTAAATAAATGGAAGGAAAAGCCATTTAAACATAGAATATTTATACCAGCATTATGTATAATAGTGAATTTCCTCAATCACACATTTATTCACTCAAATACTTATATATATTACATATAACAAATTTATTTATATTATTAATATGATATATATAATGTGCTAAGCTTATATGGAGGATATAGAAACATTTAAGATGGGGCCAGGCATGGTGGCTCATGCCTGTAATCCCAGCACTTTGGGAGGCTGAGGCAGGCAGATCACTTGAGGCCAAGAGTTAGAGACCAGCCTGGCCAACATAGCAAAACCCATCTCTACTAAAAATACATAAAACTAGCCAGACGTGGAGAGCTCGCCTATCATCTAGCTACTCGGGAGGCTGAGGCAGGCGAATCACTTGAACTTGGGAGTGGAGGTTGCAGTGAGCTGAGAATGCACCACTGCACTCCAGCCTGGGTGACAGAGCAACACTCCGTCTCAAAAATATATATACATTTAAATGAATGATTTCCCTACCCCATTAAAAAATGATGTCACAGTCTAGAAGGGAAGATAAAAAGCGTCAGTTGCCAAAAAGCAAAATGCCCCTAAAGATTGTTTTCAGCTAGAACCCTGAAAATGGGCTGAACAAGAAATACGACAGATTTAATGGGATCTTAAGAGTCACTGAACAATGCAGATTATGTCTTTATATGGGTAAAGTGGTAGAAAAACTTTATTAGCCAGAACCTGCAATCTAAAAAATCCCCAAATATTTTATGTACTTTAGGCACAATCCTGTGAAAAGTACCTATTACCTTGGCGAAAAGCCAATATAAGAGAGATAAAGTATTTCCAGTTTTAAGTGTTAGAGTTAGAAGAAGCTCAAGATCATCTTACGGTGTACTTTTCATCTGTATTCCTCAGACAACCTTTTGAGTTCCAAGTAGGTAGACAGCTTGGATGGCCCACTGGGTAACCACCAACCTTTTTTTTCCAAAGTAAAAAATACTTTATTTTTTCTGGGTATAAAAGTAAATATGTGCTCATTGTTAAAAATAAATATCAGGCAATTCAAATAAGCATAGAAAGGGTGAAAATCACCCACTCTTTTACCTTCAAGAAATAACCACTATTTATATGTTATTATTTATTTATTTATTTATTGGATATATAGCTTTTATTTATTGGATATATAGTACTTATGAGATACCAACTATTTTAAACCTTTTTTTAATTGAATAGATTGTAGATATCTTTCCATGCCTATTAATATAGCCTTACTTAATACTTTAAGTTTCCCATTCTATTCCACTGTATGTATGGAAATACTCTAATCTATTAAGTCCATTCTCTACTAATGCTTATTTACGCTGCTTTAAAAAAACTTTTTTAATGCTGTGATGGACATTTATGCACAGATGTATGGCCTTTTCTTCCTTCTCCCTTTGTGTCTTGACTCTCTCATTTTATTACTTCAGATATTGCCAAATTGCCCTCCAGAATGTTCTTACCAATTCTACTCCCCTACTGTGCTGGCAAGTATTTTCCAAATCCCAGCTGCCACAGATACTGTGGCTGATGGAGTATGAAGGGTGCTGGTGGAGGGACACAGACATGGAGTTAAGCAAAGCCTAGTCCTAGCTGGGCATGGTGGCAGGTGCCGGTAGTCCCAGCTACTTAGGAGGGTGAAGCAAGAGGATTGCTTGAGTTTGACAAGTAGAGGCTGCAGTGAGCCATGATCAAGCAACTGCACTCCCAGCCTGAGTGACAGAGCGAAGCTTTGTCTCAAAAAAAAAAAGAAAAAAAGAAAAATGAGTTTTCCACTTTGGGAGATACTGATTAGATGACAGATTCCGCTGTTCAGTTAGTAGGATGATGGGGACTAAGCTTCCTGACTCCTAGCCCAGGGCTCATTGACCCATACCATATCAAGTACCTCCTTTGCAATTCATAAAGGGTTCAGTGGGCACAGACTCCACACCTTGAAGGTTGCTGTCCTATTTTGTGGCTAAGAAAACAGAGATACTTCTTAAGTGGCCTGTCCACATTCCCACCCAAGAATAAAGGTAAGCCCTTGTTCCCAAGCCCTAAGACCTCCCTGGCAAGGAAATGTCTAGGACGAAGCCTCAGTCACCTTAAAAAGTGTGTTCTGTGGCCGGGCACGGTGGCTCAAGCCTGTAATCCCAGCACTTTGGGAGGCCAAAGCGGGCAGATCACGAGGTCAAGAGATCGAGACCATCCTGGCCAATATGGTGAAACCCCGTCTCTACTAAAAATACAAAAAAATTAGCTGGGCGTGGTGGCGTACACCTGTAGTCCCAGCTACTCGGGAGGTTGAGGCAGGAGAATTGCTTGAACCTGGGAGGCAGAGGTTGCAGTGAGCCGAGATTGTGCCACTGCACTCCAGCTTGGCACCTAGTGACAGAGTGAGACTCTGTCTCAAAGAAAAAAAAAAAGTGTGTTCTGTTACCTATGTGCTGCAAGAACCCAAAGTCACCCTGATTGTTTCTGCTTCCCAATCTCAGGTGCCATCCAACTGCCTACTCTGTTCTTCTGGAGCTTCAATGGGCTTCTACTGGTGGCTGATACAACAGGAAAACCTAACTTCATCTCTCGCTACCGAATTCAGGTCGGCAAGAATGAACCTGTAAGTATTGTAACTTCTCCTGGTCAAAGCACAGAAAGCAAGAGCTAAAGCCACACTCAGAATTCTCACCACTGGCCCAGGAGAGACCTGGCCAGTGTGAGCCAAGTTATTAGTAACAAGGCTCCCCCAGTTTAGAAGGTTAAAGAGAGGAAATAATTTGCCCTCAGTCGCAGAGTCACTCAGCTAGTGGCCAGTTAAGACCAACGTTTTGGTCTTTTGATTCCTGCCTGGCCCAGGGTCTGGACCTTCCTGTGCCACACAACGGCACTGTGGTCAGCCTGGTACTGAGAAGGCAGGCAGCTCCCCTTTTTCCAGAGGAATGGAGAAAGCAATGGCTGGATGCTAAAATATGGGTAACAGCTGTTATTGTGAGAGACAGAGACAGTTTTGAAAACAGTGGATAACCCCCCCTATAATAGACAGATAGGATGAATTCTAAATGTGTGGGCGGTGGCTGTCTTTTAAACAAGTCCTCCTTCCAAAATACTCAATTCCACCAGTAGTGCAAGGCACTAGGGCCAATCCATAAGTGAGGCCCAGACCCTGCTTATGAAACTCCTACCTGCACAGTGCCAGCAAGTGGGTCCCACTGTTCCGAGTCTGGATTGCCTTTTCTTACACAACAAGGAAGAAGTTGATCCTGAAACCCAGGTTCTTTCCCCAGCTCCACCCAAACCACATCCTGGCTTCTTTCCCAGACAAAACAATCATCTTTTAGTCATCTGCTCAGGTGTCTGGGTGAACCACCGCAGCTCTCAGGTCCTTCTGCCCCAGCCCAGCACTCCAGAAAGGCAAGTAGTGCTCTTGACCCACTCCTTTGAAATGGGCCATTTCCTGAACTAGAGCTACTAGGCTGGCTTACAATGCCCCTCACTTGGGACAATAGCTGCCAGCCAGGCTAGGGGGCTTCCTCCAGGCCCAGCTTGGCAGGACATGAATCAGAGCCTACAGTGTTAAACCCTGTGCATGGTCCTTAAGAACCCTTCATATGTCAACCTTGGCTGTTGCAGCACTATTGACTAAATGTTTACATCTCCAACTGAGGCCAAGAACTTTCACTGTTCAGATGAGCAAACAGAGGTGTTACATGGGTAAACTATGATTCAAACTCAGGCTTTTTGACTCCAGGGCTCACCCTCCTAATCAGCTCTCCAGAATATTACCTGCTGCCTGTACAGCCTTATAGTCTACACAATGTCTAGAGAGCTATGTTGGAAGATCTCATTGCATTCTGCAGAAGCTGAGGTTCAGAAATATTCAGTGATTAGCTCAAGATCAGATTGTTACTAGGAAACAGAGCCAGGGCTCATCCAATCTGACACCAAGTTCAGTGCTCCTGTACCATGTGCACCCTTGGGTGGGCAAGCAAGTATGAAAGAACCTCGTGAGGCCATTTAATCTTGGGATGCTTCCAGGAAGGACGGGCCCCTGAACTAAGACATCAGAAACAGATCCTCAAGTTGGAGTTGAATGTTACCCAGTGTTCCTATGATCTATCCCTGCTCTTTTTATTCTTCCACTGCCTGGATGGCTAGTTCACACCTCTGACGCCTCCTCCCCTAACCACTAGCAGAGGGAAGGCCTTGCTTCCCATTTCACCAAGAAAATTTAAGGCTGGGCGTGGCAGTTCATGCCTGTAATTCCAGCACTTTGGGAGGCTGAGGTGGGCAAATCACTTGAGCTCTGGAGTTCAAGAACAGCCTGGGGAACATGACAAAACCCTGCCTCTACTAAAAATACAAAAATTAGCTGGGTGTGCTGACGCATGCCTGTAATCTCAGCTACTTAGGAGGCTAAGGCAGGAGAATTGTTAGCACCTGGGAGGCAGAGACTGCAGTGAGCTGAGACCGCACCACTGCACTCCAATCTGGGCAACAGAGTGAGACCTGTCTCAAAACAAAAAAAAGAAAATTTAAGCAGGCTGGGGCAAAGTGGCTCATGCTCAAAATTTCAGCACTTTGTGAGGCAGAGACAGGAGGATCACTTGATGGCAGGAGTTCAAGGCCAGCCTAGGCAACATAGTGAGAGCCCTGCCTCTACAAAAAAAAAAAAAAAAATTTAATTAGCTGGGTACAGCGGTGTGTGTGTCTGTAGTCCCCGCTAGTCAGGAGGCCGAGGCAGGAGAATCACATAAACCCAGGAGTTCAAAACTGAAGTGAGCTATGATTATACCACTGCACTCCAGCCTGGGAGACAGAGACACTGTCTCCAGAAAAAAAAAAAAAAAAAGAAAGAAAGAAAAGAAAAAGAGGTTGGGCATGGGTATGGTGGCTCATGCTTGTAATCCCAGCACTTTGGGAGGCCAAGGCAGGTGGATCCCTTGAAGTCAGGACTTCGAGACAAGACTGGACAACATGGTGAAACCCCGTCTCTACTAAAAATACCAAAAAAAAAAAAAAAAGAAACAAAGAAAAGAAAAGAAAAGAACGTAGTTGTTCATGGAAACTGAACAACTGGCTTGCTTGTGAATGTTGACTGGATAAACTACGAAAGAAAGGCAAAAATAAAGATGTTCTTAAAACCAACGAGAACAAAGACACAACACACCAGAATCTCCGGGACACATTTAAAGCAGTCTCTAGAGGAAAATATACAGCAATAAATGCCCACATGAGAAGCAAGGAGAGATCTAAAATTGACACCCTGTCATCAAAATTGAAAGAGCTAGAGGAGCAAGATAAAAAAAACTCAAAATCTAGTAGAAGATGAGAAATAACTAAGATCAGAGCAGAACTGAAGGAGATAGAGACACAAAAAACCTTTCAAAAAAATCAATAAATCCAGGAGCTGGTTTTTCAAAAAGATCAACAAAATAGACCACTAGCCAGATTAATAAAAAAGAGAGAATAATCAAATAGATACAATAAAAAAACGATAAAGGGGATATCACCACAGATTCCACAGAAATTCAAACCGTCATCAGAGATTATTACAAACAACTGTATGCACATAAACTAGTAAACCTGGATGAAATGGATAAACTCCTGGACACTTGCCTCCTCCCAAGCCTAAACCAGGAAGAAGTCGAAACCCTGAATAGACCAATAACAAGATCTGAAGTTGAGGCAGCAATTAAGAGCCTACCATCTTTACGAAAGAAGACATATATGAGGCCAACAATCATATGAAAAAATGCTCATCGTCACTGGTCATCAGAGAGATGCAAATCAAAACCACATTGAGATACCATCTCACGCCAGTTAGAATGGCGATCATTAAAAAATCTGGAGACAACAGATGCTGGAGAGGATGTGGAGAAAAAGGAACACTTTTACACTGTTGGTGGGAGTGTAAATTAGTTCAACCATTGTGGAAGACAGTGTGGTGATTCCTCAAGGCCTTAGAAATAGAAATTCCATTTGACCCAGCAATCCCATTACTGGGTATATATCCAAAAGACTATAAATCGTTCTACTATAAGGACACATGTACACGAATGTTCATTGCAGCACTGTTTACAATAGCAAAGACCTGGAATCAACCCAAATGCCCATTGATAATAGACTGGATTGGAAAAATGTGGCACATATACACCATGGAATATTATGCAGCAATCAGAAATGATGAGTTCGTGTCGTTTGTAGGGACATGGATGAATCTGGAGAACATCATCCTCAGCAAACTGACACAAGAGCAGAAAATGAAACACCGCATATTCTCACTCATAGGTGGGTGATGAAAAATGAGAACACATGGACACAGAAAGGGGAGTACTAAACACTGGGGTCTATTGGGGGGAAAAGGGGAGGGCCAGTGGGAGGGGGAGGTGGGGAGAAATAGCCTGGGGAGAAATGCCAAATGTGGGTGAAGGGGAGAAGAAAAGCAAAGCACACTGCCATGTGTGTACCTACGCAACTGTCTTGCATGCTCTGCTCATGTACCCCAAAACCTATAATCCAATAAAAAATTTTAAAAATAAATAAATAAATTAATTAATTTAAAAAAAAAAAAAAAAAGAGCCTACCATCCAAAAAAAGCCCAGGTCCAGCACATCAAAAAGCTTATCCACCATGATCAAGTAGGATTCATCCTGGGGATACAAGGCTGGTTCAACATACGCAAGTCTATAAACGTAATTCAAACATAAACAGAACCAAAGACAAAAACCACGTGATTATCTCAATTGATGCAGAGAAGGCCTTTGACAAAATTCAACAGCTCTTTATGCTAAAAACCCTCAATAAACTAGGTATTGATGGAATGTATCTCAAAATAATAAAAGCTATTATGACAAACCAACAGCCAGTATCATACTTAATGTGCAAAAACTGGAAGCATTCCCTATGAAATCTGGCACTAGACAAGGATGCCCTCTCTCACCACTCCTATTCAATACAATGCTGGAAGTTCTAGCCAGAGCAATCAGGCAAGAAAAAGAAATAAAGGGTATTCAAATAGGAAAGGAGGAAGCCAAATTGTCTCTATTTGCAGACCACATGATTGTATATCTAGAAGACCCCATTGTCTCAGCCCAAACTCTCCTGAAACTGATAAGCAACTTCAGCAAAGTCTCAGGATAGAAAATCAATGTGCAAAAATCACAAGCATTCCTATACACCAATAACAGACTTAAAGAGAGCCAAATCAAGAACAAACTGCCATTTACAATTGCTAAAAGGAGAATAAAATACCTAAAAATACAATTAACAAGAAACATAAAGGACCTCTTTAAGGAGAACTACAAGCCACTGCTCAACGAAGTAAGAGAGGACACAAAGAGATGGAGAAACATTCCATGTTCATGGTTAGAAAGAATCAATATCATGAAAATGGCCATACTGCCCAAAGTAATTTACAGATTCAACGCTATCACCATCAAGCTACCAATGACCTACTTCACAGAACTGGAAAAAAGCACCTTAAACTTCATATGGAACCAAAAGAGAGCCTGCATAGCCAAGTCAATTCTAAGCAAAAAGAACAAAGCAGGAGGCATTACACTACCAGACTTCAAACTATACTACAAGGCTACAGTAATCAAAACAGCATGGTACTGGTAC